TTGAACTTGGGTCCTTGAGCTTGCAAGGCAGGCAGTGGAACCACTGAGCTAAATCCCCGGCCCATCCCTTACTTATTTATTTTTTGGTACTTGAGATGAAACTCAGGACCTTGCACTTGTGAGGCAGGCTTGGTGCCACTGAGCTACATCCCAGCCCCGCTCTTTTTTTTTTGAGACAGGGTCTCGCTGTATAGTTCAAGCTGGCCTTGGACTCATTATGTAGCCTAGGCTGCCCTCAAACTTGGCAGCAATCCTCCTGCCTCAGCCTCCTGAGTGCTGGGATTATAGGAGTGCACCACCACACTCGGCCTTATCCCCTACTTTGATTTTGAGCAAAACACCTTTTCTGTGTCTCAGTTTCTTTACTTGTAAAATGAGGACAATAACAGTACTTAACATCATAAATTTGTTGATGGAATTGTGGTGCTAATACACGTGAAACTCTTAAAGGTACATGGCCTGTTATGAGCAGGTTCTGGTTCTGGTTATTGTTAATTAAGTGCAAAATGGGAAAGGGGAATCAGAAGTGTTCTGATACACAGAGTGGAGGAAGGAAGCCTGCTCTAATTCCTAGTGCTCAGCTGAGGAATTATGCTTTGCAGGTGGCTCTGATTACTAAAAGAACCTTAAGGATTTTAAAAAATAAATTCATTTAATGACAAACTTCGATTTTGTGGGGGGCAAGATTTTACTAAGTATGTGGTTCAGGCTGATATTGAAGTTGCTATGTATTCCAGGTTGGCCTTGAACTTGAAATCCTCTTGCTGCAGCCCTCTGAGTGCTGGAATTATAGGTATGTGTCACCACACTTGGCTAATATTTAACTTTCTGAACAAGGAACAAATTCATGTGATCTTTTTTTTTGGTACTGGGGATCGAACTCTGGACCTTGTGCTTGTGAGGTGGACAGTGGAAACACTGAGGTAAATCCCGGCCCTATATGGTCTTTTAAAAAGTATGAAAAGTGGAGGCTGGAGTGTGGCTTAGTAGTAGAGCATGTGCATAGCATGTGTGAGGCTCTGGGGTCAGACTTTAGCACCACATGTGAATACACACACACACACACACACACACACACACACACACACACACACGAATGAAATAAAAAGGTTAAACTAGGCATGATTGTGCAGGCCTGTAATCCCAGCACTTGAGAAGCTGAGGCAGGAAAATTGCTCAAGATTAAAGCCAGCCTGGACTATATAGCTACAGAGTGAGTTTAAAGTCTCAAAAAGCAGGCTGGGTGTGGTAGCACACACCTTTAATCCCAGCACTTGGGAGGCTGAAGCAGGAAGATTGTCATGAGTTCAAGGCCAGCCTGAACTACATAATGATACCCTGTTTAAAAAAAAAAAAAAAGACCCAACCCCTCCCAAAGAAATAGAAAAGATAAATAGATATTAATTTTTGTGTTATGGCACATTTATTTGTGCTGTTTAAATTAATCAAGTTCTAGGCCCAAAACATAGTACGCTCTCTGCCTTGCCTTTTAGTTTAGGCTTGTAGGAACAGGAGCGGGGCTAATGAGTGAGTTAGGAGATAGAATTTGTGAGGCTTCATCTCTAGATACATGTTGCTAATGATACAAACTTTGTAGTCCTGGCTGCAGGGGAGGCTGAAGCAGGAGGATTACTTGAGCATGGGAGTTGGAGGCCAAGCTGGGTAACATAGTAAGATCTCTTAAAAAAAAAAAAAAAAAAAGCAAGAGTCCCACTACAGGAATCCATGTACAGGTGAGGAAGATTTTGGAGAGTACTCGAATTTAAAAACTGACTTTGGGAGGCAATATTGCTAGAGTCAAAAAAACCAAAACATTAAATTGACCGGAAAAATAGGTTGAGTCCTTGTCTACCTCATTGCCACAAAGGGTGACTAATTTAAGATATGAAATGCTTTGTGTGCATTCAAACAACCTTACTGAAAAGAAGAAAACCAGCATAGACATAAAATAGATATTATCTTCAGGATGCCTCCACATGTGTTCACAATAGGTGCACATCAGCTATTTTGAGTTCTGCTTGTTTTTCACTATCATCCCCTATTCAGCTTGGACCCATAGCCCCATCCTTAATTATGTATTTATTCCATGGGACTGCTGTAACAAACAGATGCCTTCAAACAACAGAAATTCCTTCTCTCACAGGTGGAGAGGGCAGAAGTCCTACATTAAGGTGGACTGCATATTCTGGGGGAGAATCCCTCCTTGCCTATTCCAGCTTCTGGCTCCAAGTGTCTTTGGCTTGGAGCAGTGTGACTGAAATACCTGCTTCTCTTCACTTGGCTTTCTGTGTCTCCATGTCTCCTTCTCTGTCTTACAAAGACATGTGCCACTGAAGTCAGGATCCACCCTCACCTAGGGTATCTCATCTTGACAGTCCTTAATCATGACCACAAATACCCTTACTCCAAACACTGTCACATTCTGAGGTTTTTGGTGGACAAATCTTTTGGGGGCCACAGTTTAATCCACTGATTCATGTGCGTAACTATGAGGTATTCTCCCTGTTAAATATGTTGCCTGTTTCATTTCTTCCCAACTTCTTGCTAATGTGAAGAATTTAGCTCTAAAGAGATTGCATATAAAATACTATAAATCATTTGGTGAGGGGTAAACCAGTTCAGATGACAATATTATTTTGGGAGAAGGTGGGGGTATTTTCTTGGGATAAAAAGTATCCAAAAGTGGACTTATAACATTAGTTATGAAAACAGTTCTCCTGCTCATGTAGCCTACTGCCAGGATGTGGTTGAGAAAGATTGGATGATTTAATAATGCTCATAGCAACAAGTGAAATACCTGGGGGAAAAAAATGAGACAATTTGACCAATTGTTTCAGTGTCTGATAGGAAGGAAATATTAAGAAAGGGAAAAAATGAATTATACACAATATACCAAGGACTCAGAGAGAAGTAGATGATGACCTGACTCCCTTATCTTTCCTGTGGTGCCACTTTATCCCACGTAGACCTCTTGGTGCCACTTTCACAGCTGGCAGCTGGTGAAGGTGGTCACCTGATCTATAATGGAACCTTAGATGCGGAGAGGTAAGGGCGTAGACATTGGCCTCTAATCTGCTTGAACAGTTTGTGAAAGAGGTGAGTTTTTTTTCTTAGTCCCTCCATCTTTGTGGGCTCTGTACTTTGCTGTCTGTCCTGGACTCCCAGCTCCAAGTGCTCACAGTCTCTTGTTCTCTTCTGCTGAGTTCTGAATGACTGATGGGTGGCATAAAGCTCTGCCCCCTCCAGGGCAGGTGAGTTGAACCTGGAGTATAAGCTAGCAGTAGAGTGACATGACCCTGGATGGAGGCGCTCAAGCAGTGGAAGAATCAGGGCCTCCCCTGACCTAAAACAAAACAACCCAGGTCCCCAAGGTTGATTTGGGAACAAGAATTACCTAGGAGAAGCGCCAGCTAGATGGTGTAGTGCCGTAGTTGTCCTGAGAGAGACCTTGTCTCTGGTGGCCTCTTGACCACAGCTGCTGAACCGTGTAGACTTCAGGAATCCACTTTTCCATACTGAGGCCAAAATGCTCTGCAGCGTGTGAGACGCAAGATTGGAATATTAACATTTTGATTTGAACACAGGAAAGGCTGGGGATAGCCAAAGCTAATTATGTATGGGAAGTACTTCAGCCTAGAAATTCTGCTGCTAAGATAGGTACAGTTGAACTTTTATGAATCTTCATGATTCAATACACTGTGGGTTGTAACAGACATACTTAACGTACTCATGTGAAATTAATAAACTTTTTCTGAATTGTGGTGCCTGCATTTTTTGGTCACTTTTATATGGACCATCTTTTTTTTGTTTTTTTTTTTTTTTTTGGTACTGGGGATTGAACTCGGGTCCTTGCACCTTCGATGCAGGCGGCAGAACCACTGAGCTAAATCCCCAGCCCAATGACTGTTTTGAATAAATGTAGATTTTTGTACACAAATAAATGTAAACTGTTGTATATGAATAAGACATCCACTGAAAATAAGCCCTCTTACCTCTTTTGGAGCAAAAGTTAATATAAAACCCAGTCTTCTCTTTTCCTGCGGCCCCTGACTCATATGGAGGGCGAGACTCAGGTGTGTTCAAGATCTGGCTTCATTGGTAACCCACATGACAGAAGAGGGCATTGCTGCTGGAGGTGTAATGGTTGTCAGTACTGTTTTACAAGAGGTGCCAAAGACTGCCCTCACCCATGATGGCCTAGCATGTAGAATTTATGAAGCTGCCAAAGCCATCTTTGTGCACTTGTGTCCAACTGTGATGGGCCTATGTATGTAAAGTTAGTGGAGGCCCTTTGTGCTGAACACCAGGTTAACCTAAGATTGATGACAAGAAGAAACCAGGGTAGGCCATTGACAGAGAGGCAAACCCCATAAAGTGGTTGGTTGCAGTTGTGTGGTGGTTAAGAACTATGGCAAAGAATCTCAGGCTAATCATGTCATTGAAGAATACTTCAAATGCAAGAAATGAATGAATACAAATTTTGGTTCAGTTAAAAAAATGTCTTTTTTGGGGGGAGAATACAGGTAGATCTAGAGATTTTTATTTACTATTACAGTACTGGAGATTGAACCCAGAGCCTCACACATGTGATGGATGTGCTCTAACTCTGAGCTACACTACTAGCCATACAGAGATTTTTTATGAGAAACTGGCACATGTAATTGTGGAAGATGAGAAGCCCAAAAATCTGCAGCTGGAAGAATGGAGACTCAGGTGAGCTGATAGTATAAACTCTAAGGCAAAGGCAGAAGGAGACCAGAGTTCTGGCTTAAACAGCCAGGCAGGCAGAAGTCCCCTATTGCTTAATCTTTGTATTCTGTTCTGTTCTTCGCTTGATTGGATGAGACCCATCTACATTAAGGACAATGATCTATTACCGTTGTCTACTGATTCAAATGATAATTTCATCCAAAAACTCCTTCATAGACACATTCAGAAGAATGTTTGACCAATGTCTGGAATCTTGTGGACCACATCATAGGGGCTAAAAAATATATATCCTTTTGTCTTTCCAAACTTCTGCTCAGGGAGGGAGGAAAAGCATAGGGTGGTGGGTGGAGGAAATATCAATAGTAGATCTGGGGTGTCCCAAGTCAAGTAATTTTAAGAGAGAGGCCATAAACAAAAAGAACTGCACAGTTGTTTCTGAGGCCACTATCTTAGTCTGCTATAGTTGCCATAGCCAAATGCCACAGACAGTGCGGCTCAAACAACAGAAATATATTTTCTCATGTTCTGGAGGATAGAAGTCCGGTGAAGGATCAGGGAGGGCTGATCAAAACCTCTTTCCTAAGTGTGCAAATGGCATTTGCTCAGTGGGTGTACACTCCCAGTATCTACAAGGTCACCAATCTTATTGGGTCAGGGACCTAACCTATGCCTTCATTTAACCTTGGTATCTTTCTCACTTAAATCTTAAGGGTCCCTTAAGGTCCTCAGATGTGGTCATCTTGGGGCTTCAACATGTAAGTTTGGGGTGGGAAAGGACATGATTTGGTATATAACAGCCAACCTTTTCTTTATTGCCTGGAACCAAAAGCACTGAAATGCCTTTCAGGTGTCACCATGGCTCCTTCAAGTCAAAGAAGGAGAAAGATTGATGGTTCATGCTCTTCATCATACTGAAATGCAATTTAATGTTCTCATCCTTTCTGGTATCATCAACCTTCTCCCAAGACATTAAGAACCTGCTCATAATATATTTGGGGGGTTACAAAGAGAACTTGAAAATCAGCTTCCTCAGTAATGTTCACTGACTACCTCTGATAACCAGGCATTTCTGGTCAGGAGGGATGTGGTCACGTAGGGGTACACACACACACACACACACACACACACACACCTATATTCCAAAGTAGAAAGTGATAAATGCTGTGGAAGAAGTTACAGAGTGTTGGAGTTTGGAAGAGAAATAAATATAGGGTTAATACCAATCACTACCCTTTATTGAGTCACCACATCTGGTTTAAGCAGCTGATGGTTGATAGCTGCCCCAGAAAAATGGAAAGGTCAGAAGCTGGGTGGCACCCTTTTCCATGGTGGGGAGTTTGGGGGAAGTGGGAGCAGGTCTGATAATGTGGCCAACAGGTCCTACAGAGGCAGGACTACTTCCTACCCTCCCCAACCGGAGGGCAGTAAAGGAATGTTCTTGCCTCTCACCATCATCTGTGAAAGAGGTGGTCCAACTACTGGGCAAAAAGGTGGCTGCAACCCTGATACCAGTTGGTGCAAAGGAAAGGTGACAGGGGCACGTTTGAGACTTAAAAGTAGGAAGGAATCAAGTATGAATGGAGCAAAGGGAGAGAGCTGGTAGTGGAGGAGGAGGGACACTGGCAGAGTAGTCAAAACAGGAACAGACGTGCTATCGAGCACTTGCTGGGTTGGCTTTGTGTCTGTCCTCCTATTTGAGACTCCAGTAATCAGGTGGCGTCTTTGGGGGCGGAAGCCGGCTTCGCGGACTGAGCGTAACGACCCGCCCCAGTGCATACTGAACTCCAGCAACGGACCCAGGAGAGAACGAGAGTTTGGGGGAAATGCCTCCCAGAATTTTTGACCCGTAGAATTTTTACACTGCTTTCCTGAGCGGCTGGACTTACAAACCTCACAGAGTGCTCTCTCCCCACGTGGACAAAGTACACTTCGCGCTTTGGTAATCGGACTGCCTCCTCCGCGTGGCGCCCTGGAACCCAACTGCGCAATGCCCAGCGTGTGAGGGACCAGAGGAGCCGGTCGGGTCCACGCAGCCCGGCGGACTGCAGCTGTCCCCGGAGCTCCAGGCGCCAGTGGGCGGGGAAGTGGCATTGTGACTCGTCCAGGTCCCTCCCCGGGCACTGTGATGCTGCCGGGCAGCTGCTGGCCCAGCACTTCTGTCCCCGGTCCCCTCCGGCTCAGCGAGTCACAACAGCGCAGGCGGCGGTATTCGCAGCAGTCGGGGTGGGCAGGCTCACGAGCCAGGCGAGCGGAGAACGGCGGCCGCGATGGTGAGCCTTACCGGGCGGCCGGGAGCCGGGCACGGTGGGGACTGGGGCCCGACCCATCGCTTGAGGTTCGCAGAGCGCGAAGTCAGTCCAGGGTGTCAGTCCAGGTTCAGGAGGGCGCACCCTGGGGCGGGAGACGCCCGGTGCCAACCACTACCCTTAATCGTGTGGGGAAAGTGGGGTCCAAGAGCGCGTCGACCCTAAAAGGGAGCTAAGGGAGATACGAACCCACCGATGAAGGGAGGAAAGGTGTGGGAGCCCGGTGGAGGAGTGAGCTTCTGAGGAACCCCCAGATGGGCAGCCTGGGGACCAGAGTGGGAAGGTAGAGGGAGAACAGGGAATCCGGACAGGTGGTCTGGGCCGGGGCTGCTGGGGATGGGTGCAGTCAAGTCCCCAAACCCAGTCAATGGAACAAGGGATTTAGGGCCTCACAGCCCTCCCTCCCCTCCGTGTTAGGGTCATTCTCTGTTCGCGTCCGGGCTGTCGGCTAGGATTTTCTGCATCCACAACTCCAGCTGGGGCGCTGTGGGTGCAATCAGCTTCCCAGGCGCCGGCACCCATCCAATTCCCCACTTGGTGAGTGGTGAAAGCCGGAAGGCCTTTGACACTCGGATGTCTCCCTCCTGAAAGTCCAGGGGCCCCCAGCTTTCTTGTTGTGCACCCCACTCTGTGTCTGCCTATGCTGGAAGAGCCCCTCGAAGCCCGGTTGCTCCACCCCAGAACACCTCCTCCCGCGGCGCCCAGGCTGGCTAAAATTCACCTCCAGCCGCCTTCCCCAACGCCCGCCCGAAACCCAGGAAGCTCTCCCAGACTCTGGTGTTTGGGCAGTAGGGAGGAGGGAGGAACGTGTAGGGGTGGAGAGTGGGGGCGGGGTGAGAGTATCTGTGGACCAAGGTCAGATTCTCGCGGAGCTCCAGCTCCAAGAGTCGGTGAACTTGACCGGTGACCGAGCAGGCCCGGCGAGAACCTGCCCTCCTCCCGCCCCCTGGGCGTTTGTGAAAGTGCCCAGGGCTTTCTGGCTCCCTCCCTAGCGCTGCTGCTCAGGCGTTCCCTAGGTTCAACACCCTCGCTCTCTGTGGGCCTCCCCGACACACCTGGAAACTTGATGGTTTGGGAGTGTGAGGAGGAGTGGAGAGGGTTGGAAGGTGGGGGTGGGACAGACCCATTTCTGCCTGGCGCCCCGGTGTGGCGCAAAGGAAGATGTCCAGAGATGAGGGATTGTATTTCACAGGGCAAGACCCCGCTTAGACTGTATTATTTTTTATTTATAGAGAAAGAACTTCAAACATATACAAGAGCAAGTGGTATAATTATTATACACATCATCCAGTTTCAAGAATTGCCATCTTACAACCAATCTTGATTCATTAATTCCTCCTTCCCTTATTTTGAAGCAAATCCTAAACTACCTACTCTAAAATTTAATATTTATACTATCTGTCAGGCATGGTGCCACACATCTGTAATCCCAATTACTTAAGAGGAAGAGGCAAGAGGATTGAAAATTTGAGAGCACCAAGACAAGGAGGGAAGGGAGAGAGAGAGGAGTGGAAAGAGACATAAAAAGAATTAAGATGTGTTAAGTACAAGTACCAACTTCCCGTGATAAATGTAATCATTATATACTGCAAACATACAGTAATGAAAAAAGAACAAAGTTCAAGATGAGCCTGGGCAACTTAGGAAGATCCTGTTTCAAAACAAAAATATTGGGAATGTAACTCAGTGCTCCGTGGATTTAATCTCCAGGATGGCTCCCCTCAAATAAATCTATCTGTCTATCTATCTAATTTAGCTGTGGGTTAATAATTTATAATTACAGTCATAAATTATAATTTTCAAATACTTCCCTTTGCTTTTTTTTTTTTTTTTTGGTACTGGGTGTTGAACTTGGGTCCTTTAGCTTGCGAGGCAGGCAGAGATATGGAACCACTGAGCTAAATCCCCGGCCTGCCTTTGTATGTTTTAATTTTAATTCAAATGTCACAGTGGTTCTTAGAGTGGATCCTAAAGGAAGCTAACAGAGGTAGGAGGAGATATGTAAAATCAGCACTTTAACAAACTTTATTTTGTTTTTTTTTTTTTTTTTTTGGTACTGGGTGTTGAACTTGGGTCCTTTAGCTTGCGAGGCAGGCAGAGATATGGAACCACTGAGCTAAATCCCCGGCCTGCCTTTGTATGTTTTAATTTTAATTCAAATGTCACAGTGGTTCTTAGAGTGGATCCTAAAGGAAGCTAACAGAGGTAGGAGGAGATATGTAAAATCAGCACTTTAACAAACTTTAATGTGTGTTCAGTAGGCAAATTTCTGAAAATACCTGGTAAACCAAAAACTTAAACAGTAATACCTTATTCTAAACTTTGTGTGTGTGTGTGTGTGTGTGTGTGTGTGTGTGTGTACTAGGGATCAAACTGAGGATCTTGTGTGTGCTAGGCAAGCTGGGTGCCATTGAGCTAAATTGCCGACCGTCTTATTCTAAACATGTTTAAGAATTTTGAAATGTACTTAAGAATTTTGAAAACCCAATGGTGGAAATGAAATATCTTTATTTGGAACACTGGATTTTGTACAGTAGATTCTATTGAGGACATTTTCTTATGTGCCCAGCACTATTTAAATGGATAAACATTTCCCATTCATAGAACATCTTTTAATTCATTTTTTCCTCCTCTGGTGCTACTGATAGAACCCAGTGGCTCATAAATGCTAGGAAAGTGCTCTACCACTGAGCTATCTCCAGCCCATGACTGGTTCCTAAGAGGCTAGAAAGGTGCATAGGTAAACCTTGACCCCAAGAATCCCACCTTCCCTCCTGGAAAGACAAGACTTCCTCCAGGGGGTTGCACTTCAGGCAGCTGTCTGTGCCTCATGCTCCCCTTTCCCTGTAGGGGATGGGGAGGCCTCCTTGCAGGTAAGGGGAATCAGATTTGGCATTTCTGTAAACTTTCAGTATGAAATATGTCTCTAACCCCCATGCACATTGTAAATGCATTCCTCTGGTTACTGGGCAGCTGGGGATTTTCATGAGTGGGTTGCTTTCCCCCTCCCCAGTCACCCGCTACAACATATCACCAATATTCTTCAGCATTTCCAGACTGGAGCCTGAAGTTACACAGCTTATGAGACAGCTCTTAACTTAAAACCACTTATTCCAAACCCTCTGTTCATAAAGATCTGATCAGCAGGCTAATTCTCTAACCTAGCATCCCGTCTGCTTCCCTGTGTCCTTCTAGGAAGCAACTCTCCTGGGAAGTATAGCACCTTTTTTGGGAAGTAGTGTGGAGAATCCAGGCCAGGTCAATGATATTGGGTGCAGAGGGAGTTTCTATGGTCTATATAGGATGGGGGAGCATCTACAACACAGCTCCTTAACACCATTCCTTTTGTGCTAGGGAGCACAAAATCTCTGATGGAGATTGGCATCAAATAGCAACACAAATTCTGTCTACCAGCAAAAATGGGTGGTTAGAGGGCAGCGGTGTTGGGGGGTGGGGTAGGCACTGTCCTGTCCTCTGTGGTCCTTTACCATCTGCCCCTTGTGGGCAGGTGTGACTGTGCCTTGCTAATCTGATGTAAGGGTCCTGTGTGGGGTACCCAGAGGGCTGCAGGCCATGCTTCTTTCTCATCAACAAGAGCAGATTTTCCCAGGGGTCCATGGATCCTTCTTCTGTGTACAGGAGCTTTGATTAACAGGGCACTGACTCTGGGCAAAGCTTCTGGGTAATCGAGAAGCAACTGGTGATGTTTGATAGGAAGTTTCCAAGCTTAGGTCAAGCCTGTGCAGTGCTGGAGGGTGGGGTGTGAGTATTCCTGCCAGGTCCCTTCCCAGGGTGCTCTTGATCGACCTTGAGAAAAGGTGAAAAGTTAAAAATAATTTTTGAGGAGGAAATAGCTGGTGCGTAGAAGGCCAGTGAAAGGCGGTAGGTGGAAGGATGTGGCATTCTCAGTTGGAGGAAGAGGATCAACTCGCTCCTTCTCCTGTGGGCCACCAAGGGACCCATAACAGTCTCTGTATCCTTTGTAGTTGGCATTTCCCAAGTCAGAGTCTCCCTTTTAGCATTTCTCCCAGATAATGAGCTGTGGAAGGCAACGGGAAAATGCAGTGAGCAAAGCATGGGTCATTTCAAAGCTCCTGCTCTTGTCCCCAGATTCAGCTAAAGCTCAAGAGCTTTTTGACACCACAGGGCCAGGTTTATTTACAAAACACCTCTGTGATTCCTAAAGCAAATGCAAGTCAGCCCTATGCTATCCTAGTTGCAGTGCCCCTTTTCCCAGCCACTTTCAAGCACAGACGTTAATTTAGGTCGACTCTTTGTTCTCATTGCTTCTGCCTTGCTCTCTATTCTTTGCTCTGAGTTATTCCAAATACACTGTAATTTGAAGGGTTCTGAGCAGTGATAATTTAGTCTTTCATGAATCACATTTGTTCTTACTTTAATTTTCTCTCCAGAACATTGTGGGTCTACTTTTTTACTTGCCATCCCTGACCCAAGTCCTAAAATATATGTGATCTATTATTCCAGCCTGACAACTAGAAATAATTTGGTATAATAATGGGCTTCCTGAGAGCAACCAGGTGGCATTTGAACACACAGGTGGTCAGGGACCTGGACTGGTCTCAGGTTTTCACATGGCACACACTGTTGGCCTGTGTCTGTTCCTTTCCTAAATAATCTTTCAGTTTTGCTGTCTCATGAAACTTTGAAATGATTTTTAAAGCCTCAAAGCCTTCTACTGAGGATAGTGATTAGTTTACTTTAGCCCTCTGAGAATAAAGCAAAGGGAAAGGACATTAAAATGGAAAGAAATATTTTACGTAGGGTTGACATAGGGAGTTCTTCCTGTGGAATTCTAAAAGCCCTGCAAAGTTCCACAGCTTTCTCTTTTGGATATTCTGCAACACATCTGCTCTCTTCTCTGTGGGGGTTGGCCACAGGGTGCACAGATGTTCCATCTGCTCTGCCCTCCGTGGGCCCAACCTTCAGACAAATGGCAGTTGTGG